GGACACCTTTTGAATCAGGCTACCTGTGGTTTAGTGCTTTCCCTCCAGCCTTGCCTTTGCCATCAGCCCCTCCTAGTCACCCGGGACCTCCAGGCTTTGTGGGGTGTGGTGCATACCCGGGGATTTCTGGCGGATGGTCCAGTTGAAGCTGGCCCTAAATGAGGCAGGCCCAGGGGCCGTCCAGACCCCGCCCCAGACAGAGTAAGACCTCGCTTCACCCTTTCCAACGTCCCTCTGGACATCTTAGCCTTAGGCTCTGAAGGCTTCTGTCACATTTGGAGGGGACGCTCACTTCCTCCCTGGGCTGCCGAAGTCCGGGTTCCCCAGGGGAGCCGGTGGTTGCTGTTCCGCAGATTCCTCCGCACCAGTGGTTTTATTTAGTTTACATTCCTAGTGGCCTGGACTACGAGGCGGGATAGAGAGAGAGAGGGAGCTGTCTGACTTCTCTGCTTGGGGCTCCGTTTGCTGCAACTGAACATGCAAAATGCAGCTCCTGACGGCCCCCCCTCCCCCCTCCGCCCCCCCGCCCCTCCCCCGCCAACTGTCCCTCGCCTCTCTCTCCCTCCCCCCTCTCAAGTTGGCACCACCACGCAAGTTCTTTTGACTTTACCTCCAATGTGTCCTGAATCCACCCATTTCTGTCCATCTGTCCTGCCTCCTAGACCTCTCATCGTTCCTGGCCTTCGGCCCCTCTTTCTCTGGCCCACGTCTTCCATTCTCCGTGTGAAAAGACACGCAGTCTTAAAATGAAGACTAAATCATGTCACCCTCCTGCCTAAAGCCCTTTGCGGGTTCTCGCTGTAATCAGAACGTCAGTCTGACTCGGACTGCAGGCAGAGAAGACCTCTTAGCAAAGCCGGATTTTCTCCTCTACCTTCGCCCCAAGCTCGTCTTTTAAAGGACGAGCTTACTGAAGGCCCTAAGAAATAGCCAACACAACATCAACATACTGGGTTCAGTGGCTCTGGACTTTTTAAGTAATAATTTTACTAATAGACTACATTTCTCTAATCTGGACCCACCGTAAAACAGATACCATTTTAATCGGTCGTTTCGCAACTACATAATAAAGGGACGCTGGCTTCCGAACCTAAAGTCCTAGGGACCTCACCACCCTCTGTCCTGCCTCCTCCGCCCAGCACTTCCTCATTTTAGGGACTGTCATAACAGCCCCACTTACAACGACCAGATTCAGAACAGGACATTTAGGGCTGTGAGTAGCCCGAAACCAAAACTCTTTAACAGGCATTGAGCAAAAAATGTCATGATTTCACCCAGACTGCAGAGGAGGGCAGGCTGCAGGCCCGTGACACCTTGGCGCCCTGCCGAGGAAGCCAGGGGCTTTGCCATCCTCAGCCTTGGCTCTGCTCCAGGCCGGCTTCCCAGCAACAAGCCATTCGCAGCCGTTCTGGGCAGTGTGTCCAGATGCAGCGCCGTCAGAAGAAAGCCTGTCTTCTGCTCTCTGAGAAGCAAAGAAACCATCCCCAGAAGGGTCCTTAGCCAACCTCAGATCTCAGCGGTCAGCCTCGGGTCACGTGCCCGTTCCTACGCCAGGCACTAGCAAAGAGGATGGTTTCAAGTAATCCGTTTCCTTTCCTGGAAGCTGAGAGGCGCTCAGCTTCCTTTGATGCACGTGGCTGTGCAGAAGAGAATAAATATGTAAAATACCGGGGCTCGCTGGAGAAGGAGGAAGAGGAATGGGCAGCCACTGGTGCCAGGTATCCGAGGTATAAATAGGTCCCGCTTCGGAGATGAATTCAGCATTTACTAAGTGCCTCCTCCACGTACACACTTAGGACTGTGTGTACATTAGTTCATTCAGTCACCGCAGCCAATGGAGAAGCAGATGATGAAACAGGCTCTAGAGTGACGCTGTGGCACATGGAACAGAGCTTAGGTTAAAACCCAAGCGCCATCCCCAAACCCACGGTATATCCACGGCCACCACGGGAACAGTTAGATACAACGCTCCAAAAAAGTAAAGAAACGAATAAAAAATAAAACCCACGTTTGTTAAAAACAGAAAGCACAGAAGGCCTGTTCAGACACGACACTCCTCAAACCACATTTTCCTCCCGATTAAAGAATGTAGCTGTTGTAATTAAATAGGACCGGAGTGGCAACTGGAATTCTTGGGGAACCACCCCAAAGTGCTTCCGGAGCCTCTGAGGCTCCATGGGACATGCCGAAGACACCATCGGCCACGTGCAGCCCAGGCGACCCTGACCCTGTAGGTCCCGGAGCGGCTTAGGTCCCCTCCGATCACATTGATCTCGAAGGGGATTTTGAAGATGACACGCTTGTTTTGTAATTAGTGCTCTGGCCCTCTGCCCAGAGAGGTGACAAAACAGCCCTGGCTCTTAGATAACCATCTAAGTTCATGGTGATGACTCGTACCAGAAGGGGACCGGGACCTGGGGTGAGGCCCAATGGTTTTGCTGATTGCATTGAGTCCCCGCGAGACCTTTGCTCTCGAAGGCTGCTTTCGTTTCGGTTTGATTAACATAGTGACCGAGCGATCTTCCTGGAACCCCAGCTAATGTCCTATGTAACCACAGGGCTTGGAAGAGAAGCCCGTGCCTCACAATCTGACTTCTGCCTTTCTTCTTACCTCAGCCCTCCCAACTGCCTGCCTCTTTCTTTTCTGAACTCGTCACCTGCATTCCTGTCTGTGTCTTTGCCTTTGTCATTCCCCTCGTTTATAACCCTCTTGGCCAATTTCTGTTTATCAAATCACACCCATCCTTCAACTCAAGTTCCATTACATCGAAAATATGCCTCAAATATGCAGGCCAATAAAATGCAGCAAGAACAGCATGTGCCAGGCGCTGCCTTAGCCTTTCAAGGGCCGGGCAGTTTCTCCTTTCAGCCACCACGTAGGCGGTCTGGCTGCCCCGAGGGGCCAACATCGCCGTGAGGCTTGGTCATCTTAGATAAATAAATAAACGAATAAACGTGGCAAGGCTTGGGCATCTTAGACCTTCCCGCTCGGCCCAGCCCTTCACTGAACGCAGCCCAACGAGTGCTACTAGTTCATGGCCCATGAAACCGAAGCGCCTGGTGAGCCCGGCGGGCCCTCCGCACCCATGGTGGTTCGTTATGCAGCAGCAGATCATTGGCGCGAGTAGCATGTTAGCGGGTCAGTTGGCAGGACCCTCCCCAGGTGGGCCGAATCTGAGCCTTCCAGATAGGACAGGGGAGCGGTGATGCTGGTGATCTCGGGTAGGCAGCCCCCTGGAAGGGGGTGACGGGGAGGGATCAGGAAGGGGGGCCTGATGGCAACAGGAGAGGTGCACCCCGGATCCCTACGTACTGTTTATCTGGCCTTCTCACTTCCAGGTCACGTTGTGCCTTCCCAAGCCGGACCTCTGCTCGGTGACCGTTTGTGTGTAAAGATGGAGGACAGGTACAGAACTTGAGGCAGCATTTTGGGACTGTCAAAGAAGCCTGGGGAGATGGGACGCAGAGCAACGAGTGGCCGAGCACCCCCAAATCTCACCTCCTTTATAGCTTTGCCTGACAGCAGGTTACCCTGCCTCAGAAAAGTCTGCTTTTGATCTATGGATCTAGCATCTGCTAATCACGTCCAGGGCACCTGTGATGGTCTCTGGGAATTCGAAGGTGAAAACCAGTTCTTACTTCCGGGTGTTCAGCCCCGCCTGGTGGGGCCATGGTACGTTTGGGCACGGCAGGGGTTACTTAGACATTTCCCTGGAAAGAAGGCCCCGCCAGGCAAGAGAACGCGTTTTACCCTTTCAGGGCTTAAAAAGAAAAGTCTCTATTCGTTGATTTCCCCACCCTCGGCCCTTCCAGACCTCAGCTCGGCCACACCCTGCTTGCTTCCATGTCTAGATCTAACTTTTTAGATCTAATTTTTGTTGCATAATTTACCCAACTTGAACTTGGTTGGTGACTGATGGATCACAGACTTCTGTGATGGGCCTGAACCAGTGATTTCAAAGGTCCATGACGGGCCCCCAGAAGTTGTCACATTGCTCACTTTTCCAAAGACAACGATGAATTCAAACCACTAATCTATTAACTAGGCCTGTGACTTAGCCTTCTTATACTTCATAGAAACCTTTCGAAATTTGGTTCCAATGAACATCGCCCCAATTTTCTGCGTCAGTTGTGTTTTCTGTCAGGTTAGTTTTGAAAATAACAAGGGTCGAACTCTTAAAACTTCTTATAAAGAACAAACTGGATCCAGATCATGGTAAACTCTAGAAACTCAGGGTCAAGCGCTGAAGGGAGCAGCAAAAAGTTTAAAGAATCAAGCGGGTTTAGGTTCATCAAGTACTGAAGGCCAATAGTGAATAAAATGGCTCAGCTTACACATTAATGAGTTTTTCTACTTGTCAAAAAGATATCTGCAGATAATGACAATGGTGTGTCTCTAAAATTCCCACCACCAGGCATTTAAATTCCTACCCTTCCTTCGCTTTTGATGGAACTGTATAAATTGATGACACGAAGTAGTTAGAATGGCTCTCGGAGAGCGCCTGGCAGCGTATGGCTTGGTCACTGCTGTCTACATGCCATCGCCCAAACGCTTGTGACACCTGCCTGGCCACCTGGCTGTGCGACGGGGCAGGCGACAGCCGTTTACAGTCAAGGCTCCTTTTCTACCTTCTCCCCATCGCAAATTCTGTTCCTACCCCGGCGTTAATTGAGCCATGTGGCCTCGGTTAAATCAACTTCTCTAGGCCTCAGTTTTCTCATCTACAAAATGAGCAGGAGGGGTTAGGCCCGTGATTTTCTCTTAGAGATGTTATAAACAGCAAAGAAAGAGAAGAACCATCCAGAGCGAGGGGCTGTGTGTGCCAGGTGTACCTGCCACGCGTCGCTTCTCACGTGGAAATCACGTTAGAAATTCTCCAAAACTGTGATCTGATCCAGCTTCAGGCAAGAGTTTTTTTTTTTTTACCTTTTACAAAAAGCTGGGCTCTACATTCCAGCTCTTTCTCCTCTTTTTTCCTCGTATACATTTCCTTTCATTGATTCTTTTAGTGCGTTTTTAAAATTGAAAATAGACATTTTATTTTATTCATACAAGGCACAGTTTCAAAAGGCACAACATCTAACATCTCGATATAATAGACAAGGAAGTATAAATATCAATGCATATATATGGAAAATGTCACTGAGTTCAGTTTTCTTTTCGAATCCTTAAATCGAGAGCATTCATGGAGCACGATATCTCTTTGCTCCCTTTGAATGTGCGCAGAGCACCCGGCTGGAGGGAGTTTTAGGAGCTGAAATGCTGGTGTCATGTTCGCAGACACCCCCTGACACAGGGAGGCCTGGTCATTCGCTTAGAACTTTCGGTATACTTGTTTTCTCTGTAAACCACAAGGCAGGATGAGGGACGGAAAAGACAGTCCAGCAGGTAAGCTATCCTGAATAAACGTAAGAAAATAAAGTCCTCATAGGAAGCCCTGAGGCCTTCACCGCCTGAGACTTTGGGGACTCGGGTCAGCCCTACACCTGAGGCAGGGCGGGGCGGGGCGGGCAGGCAGCTTCCATCCTGAGGCCGGAGACCCTGCTCTTCCAGGCGGGACCTCGGCTAGACCCAGTGGATGAAATGACGCCAGGACATTTTACCATCCTCGCAGGCTTTTCCCCGGCGCCGACTCTTTGCGTCTTTCCGAGGTCCCCCGCAGCCAGAGCGGAGTTGGCGCCTTCGCTCCAGCTTTTGTGGGCCCTGGTTGTCCCCCGGAGTTTCCTAGACGGCGTGGCGGTTCTCCGCGTCGTCTCTGCCATCGGTTCCTCCAGTCATTGGCACACCTTCTATATTTTCCATTTCAACACCGGGCGTCCAGGAAGTCTGCCTGCGAAGCAGATCATTCAACGGTTTTGAAAAGACGAGCGTGTCGCACTCAAATTGAGTAAACGGCCCCTATTAGAACACTCAGGCGGGAAAAAAGCTTAGGTCGCCTCCACTCACAGATAGTGTCTAAATCCCGTCTTGGCACTTTTAACCCCCTCGCCCGCCAGACGAGGCGCCCAGTGCAGCTAGAGCAACTTCTCCTGCCTTGCTGACCTGCCGAAGGGCCAGCGGGTGCCAGCGCTGGGGACGAGAGCGGGAGGAAGCAGCTAGGAGCCCCGCCAAGCTGGGCGTGATAATCTCGATAAAGATGATGTAACATTTATGGAGCTTTGAACCTGGTGTTCAATAAACAGACGCATACGTGACTCGGTTCCCAAGTAACCGAGCGGGAAGGCGGAACCCATAGTCCCACGTCTCCCCGTCTGTCGTCGAGGGATGCGTTTCTGGGCCACGAGTCTGGGCCAGCGGTTCCTTCTAGGGGTTATTCAACCCACCCCCTGAGGGTGGGCAGCTTTTTTCAGGCATTTTAAAGTAAGCACTTTGAGCTTCTGGGAGGTTCACCAGTTCTTAAAGATAGATTTATGAATATCTCTTTAATATAGTCGGTGAATATTGATATGTTCCTCTTATGAGCATATTTTTCGCTCATGTATATATCGCATTTACTAACTCTTTTTAAGAATATATTTTTAATGTCTTATTCTTTTAAAAGGTGGTATAGATTCTTTTTTAGTATAGTCAATGAATATAGTTAGTCATGTCTTAAAAATATAACTCCAAATATAGCATTGTATATGGAGATTATGATATTTTGAAAATCCTTTTAAAAGTCATTTTGCCAGTGTTTCAGCATTTTTTGGATCGTTTTGACAAATTTTGAGTACTATATAAACCTTAGTTTGTTAATTTCTAAACTGTTCATGAGGTTTATGGCATTTCTTATTGGTCGAGATGGCATGAACAGCTTTTGAAGATTTATGTCAGTTTTTAGATGACTATTTTTCGTTTTGGCTTTATAGTAGCATGTCACGAAATGTTCATTTGTCAAAGTTAGGCCAGAAGGACGGTGTAATCTTTATAATGATGTGGTATTTAGAAAACAGTATTTTATGACTAGTAACTGAAAGTTTATTTTCAACAAATAAACTTCGTATATTTGTAAGAAAGTATATCCACATTTAATGTGTGTTCAAGAAAAATATGTTCATGACTATATCCTCAGAATCGATTCCCTATCCATCAAACTGGTTATTTGGCGTATTCTTTCCTTCTGAGGTGGCTCCTGGTGAACGAGCCCCATGTCACCAGTTAGGCTCAGGCCACCCCATCTCTGATGAGCGCCCTGCTTTGGAAAGTGAAGGGCCCTACAGGCCTGGCTCAGGGACTGCTCGGCTGCGACACTGTTCTCGGGGAACGCAGAAGGGGCTGCGAGGGGGAGCCCGTGTCTGTGGTGGGGAGCGGGCTCTCCCCGTGAGGGGCTGGACCCCGCATCGCGGCGATGCGGCTCCTCTCCGAGGGAAGGGAGAATCGTGTCCCGTGTCACCCCCCCCGCCCCGTGCCACTCACCTTGATTGTCTGCAACGCACCACACGGATGACCACAATGGTTGCTCCGAAAAGCACAACGACAAGTATGGGGACTGCCACTGTGAAAGAAGAAAATGAAGCTGGCATCGGGCTGACTGACGGGCCCGGTCGCGGATTCGCCTCCAAGAACCCGAAAAGCCTGTCCGGTCTTCGTCCCTGCAGAAAGCTCCCCGCCCTTCCCAACCCGCTCGTTAACAACACTTACTTCGCTCTATTCTACACCCGAGCAAAAATGCAGCCCTTTCCCACCGAGGCTGCCAGTCCAGACCGTCTCCATTCACACCATCCCAGGTCCCCTGCTCCTGATCCCTGTCCTCCCCGGGAGAAGTGACATGGCGATCGGCAGGGACGAGGGTAGGTCAGGAGGAGAAATAAGAGCCTCGGAGATCAGAAGTGTGAGGCAGAGGCAGCCAGCATTTCCTCGTCCTCCCCGGGAGAAGTGACATGGCGATCAGCAGGGACGAGGGTTAAGTCAGGAAGAGAAATAAGAGCCTCGGAGATCAGAAGCCGGGATGGAAGCGTGAGGCAGAGGCGGCCAGCACTTCGCGGGAAGAAGTACCTGCTGCTGAGCCCAGAGCCAACAACATAGACACGGCACGGGTCTTCCTCGGTTGTCCTTTGTCACCGCTGCCCCCTTTTCTGCAGCTTCGCAGAACCCCGGTTTGGAAGCAATAGCATGCGGTGCTATTTCTCTCCCAGGGTCATCATCGTTAGTTATTTGCTACTTTCTATGGCAGAGGAGGAACGAGCGGTAGGAGAAAGAGGAGGTGTCACACAGAGGTCTTACGGATGAGGGGACAACGACGGAATGCTTCGGGAAAGGAAGAAACGTGCTTTGAGCGAGAGGCGCGGCGTGGCGTGGGGTGCCGGGACAATTTAAGGGTGGAGGGCCGGTGGCCGTGACAGCATTCGAGACTAATGGGACAGTGCGGGGTCTTCGTATGGAAGCGTAACCCGAAGGCAGGGCGAACGTAACTATTTTAAAACACTTGCATCATTAACAAGCTCCAGGCAGATTTGGCCAGTAAACCTTAATATTGTGAAAGCTCTCTGCGAAAATGACCTCCTTGCCCCATGAGCCAGGGACAGCCCCGGACATCTGGGGAGCAGCTGTGTCACTGTGGACCATGAGTCACATCCATCGCCTAGACCGGCAAGCCTCTGCAGAGGGACACAGCCTTGCCTGCAGGGATAGTTCCCACAGCTCGGCCTTCGAAACACAGCCCTACTGAAAACCGGCGAAATTCACGGCTGTGGGGAAGCACACAGACTCTCCTCCGGGTGGGAGTGTAAACGCGTGCGGTTTTTCTAAAAGCTTTAGAGAAGGCTATGCCCTCTGACTCTCTAATTCAAGTTCTAGGAATTTATTCTAAGGAAACGGAAAAGAATAGATAGAAATATTCAGCGAAGTATTGTTTAAAATAAGTTTGAAATGTGGATCTGCATTTCTCATCACTAGAAAATTGGTTAAAATGTGGTACACACAAACAATGGAATATTACTCGTCCTTTAAACATTATGAAATGAATCTATATTAATATGGAAAGAATATATTAATAAGTGAAAAAATATATTAATAAGTGAGAAAAGCTGGTTGAGATAAAAATGAACCAGAAATAATCTCCAGTAAGTCACGTGTGCCCATATGCACAGAAAAGTCTCAAAGGATATATACGAAAGTATTAAATAATGATGGGATTTAGATCATCTTGATTTTCTTTTTTAAAAAGTTTTCTTCCTGACACTTTTGCAATGACACTGTAATCAGAAGAAACAGTAAAGCTGTAAAATTAAACTACCTGCACCTAATTCAATAAAAATAAGCCCAGATAAGTTGTTCCCAAAGAAGTAACAGAAAACATGGGAAATCGGTGAAAGACATTTTGACTTTTCAGACTTGACGTTAATCATCAGTACAATTAAAAGCCAGAGATATTTTTGTTTTAGCAGAGAGGCTGTAGCCTCCGGTGAACTTATCACGTTGACTAATCGGCTTGGCATGCATTTACTCTGCATACCACGGTTTATTGGAAAAGGCAAGTTGATGTAAACAATAGTTCTACTTTCACAATGCTTCTTCCGGTTTCTTTTTCATGAGAATAAAAACTGCAGACTCTCACTCAAGCGAGGAGAGGATCCCTGAGCCAATGATACAAACAAAGCCATTTGAAGTCCATGATTTGGCCTCTTCTTCAATTATATCCTGACCTAAAGAAATCAAAACCAGAATCACTAAAACAATAGATTAATGTATCGGCTGCCAACGTTCTCTACCCTTCTGTGTTTCCTCGAGGGGTGCACTGATTAGAGAGAAAGAAGAGAAACATCTGGTGAGACAGTGGAGGAGAGAGCTGGATTCGAGTCTGGGAGAGAGAGGAGAAAAAAATGGATTATTGCACAGGAGGCCAGTAGCTAGCTGCCTGCCTTGAGTTCGAGCTACAGTGCGCGTTGTGTAGGGTCTGAGGCCGAGAAGTGAATATACAGGGACTTGCAGTATGTAAGTCCTTAGCAGTCGACCTGCCAACTGGGTCAGTCGGGGAATAGTACGTATTTCTGATGGCACCCTGACCAGAGTGCGCATGTGCCCACATCCAGTGGCAACAGTTTTCAAGTAAGAACGTCAGTTCATTGTTCCTGGGCAGTGGCTTATTTTCTGTCTCTTACTGTGCTAAGCACGGCGTAAGGGCTGGGTTCAGAGCAGGTCCTGAGTCAATACTTAATGGATCGAATCAAACTGTAAACATTCTACGAGCTGAAGCACATGAGCTTAAAGTGCCATTGGCTTTTTAATGAGACATCTGCATTTCACTGCCGCTTAGGACAATGCCTGGCACAAAGTAGAAATCAGTTTACAGGGTCTGAACGATACACAGGTAGCTCATATCGACCGCTGCAAGTCCATCTGAGATCTGAAAGACAGAGGAACACTAGGTTCTGAAACCTGAACTCTTCACTCCCAATGCACTAAATGGACATGGCCGTGTGAACGCTGTCAGAGGCGACGTTTTCACCTTTTATTTTACAATCCGAACTCTTCAAGAATAGCTTAGTCAACGTTTGGAGACCAGATAGCGGAAGGAATAATTGAATAAAGTCACCGATCAAAAGGGCTGCCAAGGGAGCCAGCAGATATTTAAGACAAGGGGATGATAAGCCACACTTCTTGAAGATTTGTTTAAATGTTAAAGCCTTCTAATTCACTTATGCATTTGCTCATTCATTCAATATTTACTGAGCTATCTACTCTTTACCATTTTCTGTTGAACTAAAAAAAGCAACTTTTAAAAGTTGTAATATCTTTTTATGGCCTTATATTTTTAAAAAGGCGAATATGATGGTATTGGAAGAATCAATGGGCTGATTAAAACATTAAGCTGACACTTGCTGAGCGCTCTCTATGGCAAAGGAATTTTTATTTTCTTACAGAGATGAGCTCAACTGATCGCTTATTCATGGGGTAACAGCAGCGCCCACTGATGCCCAGGGAGCGGTGTGTACCCCTGCCACATGTACCTGAGGTGGCTGGGACTATATATGACATAGTTTGAAGGCACTATCACTAAATGTTTTTAGAAAATTAGCGTGATTTCCATTTTTGTTTCTACCTGGTTAGCAGATGAAACTCAATAACACACAAAGAAATAAATCTAGTTTTCATCTCCTTGTTGATAATGACTTGTTCTGTCTTACACTTAGCTGTTTACGTGCCTGTCTTTATATTAAGGCAGCCTGAAAGAAGAAACTCTTATGCCTACATATGAAAGATTTAAAGTTTTTTTTCTTTTAAATCTCTGTCTTTTCACAGTTTTTTTGCACATAACTATCTTTGTCTATTGTAGGTGTCCAGTTAATGTTTATTACATTACATTTCAGAATTAGGGAGTGAGTTTCTGATAATCTCATGAAAGACATGAATTAGAAAAAACATATTATAGATTACAGCCCGTAACAGGTTGAAAATCTAGGTAGGAAACATGGCTCCCAAATTTTATGTGTAGCAGTTTATCCTACAGACATACTTGCACATATGCAAAATGATATAAGATTTCACCATCATCTTTTTGTAATACAGCCAAAGACTACAAGCAGTCACGTGTCCGAAGAGGGGTTTGGCTAAATACGCTGCGGCAGATCCATAAAAGGGACTATTTCTGTTGAAAAGAACGAGGTATTTGTGTATTGGTATGGAAGGGTCTCCATGATCGAGCACTGAATGAAAGCAAAATGCGGAACAGCGAAAGTAGAAATCCTAACTGCCGGGCATCATGGACCCCGCGCCACGTACAGCCTGACTCTGAAAGGGACACAGACACCTCCGCTTCCTTCCAGCAAAGGGATGTGCAGTCAGAGGTCTCCCCTTAAATGATAAACGTATTTTTGTCTCAATGTCCTCTCGTTCAACGCCACAGTGTCTCCACGAAAATACTCTCCAAAGAGCCCTTCTAAAATGTCTCGCTTTTGCGCATATGTCGTGACTGTTTTTAAAACCGTTCTAATCAACGAACTGCTGATGAGCTGATTAGCTTGGATACAAAGCTACTTGGTTTTTTTCTCAGATGACACTGATGTCGATAAAATGCAGCCACAAACATGTAAATCCTTCTCTCGCGGGAAAACTTGGAAATAGAAAATAGAAATAATTTTCGCCCATGTGAAATTAGAGTGGATTTTCGGTTCCTCGCAAACCTGTCGGACGAAAATATTAGGTCCTTTCCGACTACTCATATGTCTCCCTCCTCCCTTCATCCTTCTCTGTCCGCCCTGGACAACCTGGGACATTCTCCCCCCCGCCCGTCTCCTCGCCTCAGCATCGTGTGCATCTTTGTAGAAAGGAGCCTTTCAGACAGAAATCCGAACAGGCTCGCCGTCTGTGCCGACGCCCCGCGCGGGGGGAGTGCGGCCTGTGTGCCAGCAAAACGTCGCCTCGGTTCACAGCCGCCCTCACGGTTCCCTAATGAGCCCTGGACAGAAGTCCGGCTCTGCTGAGTAGAACCAGGCGGCTGGACGGGGCCTTGGTGTGATGCGTCGACTCCGGATGGTGAAAGGAGCGACGGCAAATAAAGAATTCCAGAAACGGGGTGATCATGGAAACCACTGTCTACACTGAGTGGCAGAGGGAGCTGCCAGTGGCCGTGCTGGGACGGCAGGCAGGGGCCAGGACCGTGCAGCTCCCCGGGACTGGGGTCCCCTGGGCATCGACGCTGCCGGGACAAGGGAAAATACTTACCCGTGACGTCGGTGAAACTGTACGAACGTGCACCTGCAGAGAGAATATCACCGCTCAGTTATGGCGTAGCCCTAAAGGCGCTCATTTCTCTCAAAGCGGGAGAAACTTTCCACCATGCGGTTCCCATCCGAAAGCCTCGAGAGAGTCACGGCTGGCAAACCAGGCTCGTTGCAGCCAAGAGCAAGCGAGGCGTTCAGATGCTGTGAGGAACCAGATGGGCCCTTACAGAGGAGGCCGCTTACGAGAGCTCCCCCATCCTAGAGGTCACGACTCCAGGTGGCGGAGGCCGTCCTCTGTCCTCTGGACTGAGAGGAGGCACACGTGACTCAGATTCTCGGCAAAGCGGGTTAATACACCGAGCCTTGTCACGTCTGGGAGACGGACTTTCTTCTCTGGCTGGACGGCGCCGGGGCAGAGCATGGAGGTGAGAGACCAGAGCCCGGCGGCTGCGGCAGAGAGCAGGGGCGGGGGCTGCTGACCTTGGGGG